GCTCGCATCCCCAGCCTATCGCTCAGCAGACGCCCCCTTCCAATCATCTGTACCGACTCGCCAGCCGCATAAAAACGGAGAAACTCCCACTCTCGGCCTCTGAAGCCTTGCATGAATCGTTCTGGAGGAATCGCTTTGTCTACTCACGCTTACTCCTGCGGTCCCTGCTGTCCTCTGTCTTGCTGCGTGTGGTCTGCTCCTCCTCCGCGTCGCTGCACCTGCTGCGGGTCTCGTGCCGTGGTCCGTGGGTCTTTGCCGCTCTCCTCCTTTGCGGGCTCTTTCTGCGGGTTCGCCGCTGCTCGTCTCGTCGCGGCCTGCTGCTGCATACGGCCGGTCTGGCCCGGTGCGGTGGGAGCTGTGCGCATCCCTGCCTCCTCGTGCCGGTACGGCGTGGTCCTGTTGTGTTGTCCCTTGTCTTCTGGCGTTGTGGGTAAGTATGAGATCTGCGGACGGTTTCATTCCCCTCGCAGTGTACTGCAGGCTCAGTTGGCCCCGCGCTTGTACTGCAGGCTCAGTTGGCCCCGTGCATTGGTGGGCAAGCTTCAGTTTAAAGCCCTCGCATTGTTCTGCAGGCTCTCTTAACCAAGCTCCGTTTAAATCCTTCACTCTGACTGCAAGCTCCGTTATTCCTCACATTGGACTGCAAGACCTCAGTTTAATCCCTCACATTGGACTGCGTGCGCTCAGTTTTAATCCCTCACTTTGGCCTGCAGGCTCTCTTTAAATCCCTCTCTGGACTACGAGCTCTGTTTAAATCCCTCTCTTTGGACTGCAAGCCCCGTTTAAATCCCTCTGGACTGCGGCTCCCAAATTGAATCCCTCACATTGGACTGCGAGCTCCCAGGTTAATCCCGCACGGAACTGTTTATATCTGGAACTGCTTATATCTGGAGCTGTTATACCGTACCTGGAACTGCTTCATGCGGAACTGCTTATATATGGAACTGCTATATATGGAACTGCTATATATGGAACTGCTATATATGGAACTGCTTATATATGGAACTGCTATATATGGAACTGCTATATATGGAACTGCTATATATGGAACTGCTATATATGGAACTGCTATATATGGAACTGCTTATATATGGAACGGCTTGTATACGGAACTGCTTATATGGAACTGCTCATATTGGAACTGCATATATGGTACTGCTTATATCTGGAACGCTTATATATAAAAATAAATAAATATAAATAAATATTAATATGAATAAATATAAATATAAATAAATATAAATAAATATAAATAAATAAATTAAAAAAAAAAAAAAAAAAAAAACTGCAGGCTCTGTTGGATCCCTCACATCGTTTAACTCCCTCACACCGGACTGCAGGCTCTCCGTTAAACGCCTCACTTGGACTGCAGGCTCAGTTTTAATACCTCACTTTGGACTGCAAGCTCTATTTAAATCCCTCACATTAGACTGCAGGCTCTGTTTAGGTCCCTCGGCGTCTCGCGTCCCGCAACCTCTTCCCGGCTCTCCGTGAGCCCCAAGTCGGCACGCGGCTCGGGCGCGGGAGGTGTCCGTGGGCTACGTCATTGGCCCCTTCTCTCCGTCTCGCTCTAACCCGATGGGCATCGTCACCCGCAAGCACTCCAGGAAGAAGCGTCTCATACTCGTCCTCTCCTGTCCCCGCTCTGGGCCCGCCCGAGCATCAACAGCCCCTTCCCTCCGGCGCCCTTCTCCCTGCAGTCCGCTACCGTGGACCACGCGATCAGGCTGATAAAGACTTTCGGCCCCGGCTCCTGGCTCTCCAAGGCCGTCATCCCGGTCGCGTTCAAGCTGCTGCCATCCACCCCGACCACTGGCGCCGTTCAGGGGTCAAGTGGCGTCGGAGTTCTTCTTCGCAGTGCGCCTCACCTTCGACTGCCGGAGTAGTCCCTCTCGTTCAACAATCTCTCGGAGGCGCCGTGTCGGATTCTGCTTAATTTCGCGCGGCTCCCCTCTGTCTGCATCTCCCCGATGATTCCCTCATAGTCGACCCACCCTCAGACTGCTCCGGGGGCTCTCTCCGCAAGCTCAGGCCCGCCTTCTCTGCCCTCGGATTCCTCCACTCCGGAAAGCCCACAGGCCCCGCCAACGCTCTGGAGTTTCTCGGCATCCGCCTCGACACACGCGCCATGGAGGCCTCCCTCCCGCTGGACAAGCTCGAACGCATCCGCGCTTTCTCCCGGTCTGCCTTGGCCTTCCCGTCACTTCGAGGCGTCCTTGCTCTCCCTCCTTGGGCATCTTCATTATGCCGTCCGTATCATTCCCCAAGGTCGTTCTTTTAATTCCAGACTCCTTTCCCTCGCCGGCTCCGTCTCCTCCCTCGATGACGCGTCTGCCCGGACGCGGGGCGCTGCTCCGACCTGGCGTTCCGGTCCAGTTTGCAGAGCCGCTGGGATGGTGTATCTCTTTTTTTTTCTCAGATGCCCCGCGGTTCTTCACGGACGCAGCCCCGTCCGTGGGTTTTGGGGGTTTTCCAGGACCAGTGGCTCGCCGGGCCCCCGGCCCGACGCTTTCCCTCGAAGCATCTCCTCCGCGCTCCACGAGATATATCCCGTGACCGTAGCCTGCGTGCTGCGGAACCATACGTGGCATAGGAAAAGGATTTCCGTGACGTGCGACAACCTCGACGTCATTGAAATAATTAACAGAAGTCGTTCATCCTCTCCCCAAATCACACCCTCCTTAGACGCATCACATGGCTCCCAGTCTCGAACAATTTATCATCACTGCTCGTCACGTCCCTCGTCACCTAACTGTATTGCTGACTCTCTCTCTCGCTTTAAATTCCAGGAGTTCTGACGCCTTCGCCCTTCTGCCAATCCATCGCCATGCCAGATCCCCTGCACGGAATCCCTCGCCCTGGTCTAGTCCCTCCGTCTCTTCACCTTCTCTCCTCCGCTGCATCCTACATGAAAATGGGCTTCTTACGCATAAGCGAATTCACAAACTCTCACGCCACCTTTAATGCATCCCGAGACATTGCCTTCTCTGACCTGTCATATTATCCCGACTACTTCAACCTCCACCTCAAGCATTCCAAACGCAAAGGCGCTTGCAATATAGTCATAGCTCGGTCTGACACTTCTCCCTGTCCCTACAGATCCATGATGCATTACACTCGCCTCCGCTCTCGGAAAGGAGATCTCAACGGACCGTTATTTCACCCCCGATCACCTCCCAATGACATCTAACTGGTTCAGGGCCCAACTAAAGTCCGTACTGCTGCTTTGTAACCTGTCTCCCCATCTCTACACAGCTCACTCCTTCCGGATAGGCGCCGCCACGCGCGCCGCGTCCCTAGGACTCCCCCATTCTGCCCTCCAGCAGCTGGGCCGCTGGTCATCATCGGCCCTCTCCTCATACATCAGGCCTGACACTTCGACCATTCTGACAGCCCAGCGCCTCTTGGCATCTCCATAAATCACTCACAAAACTTCCTGGTGGCGGCAGCAGCCGAGTATCCGCAAGTATTGATCACAGTAGATAGCGGTCACAGTATATAGCGATAGCGGTCACAGCATATAGCGATAGCGGTCACAGCATATAGCGATAGCGGTCACAGCATATAGCGATAGCGGTCACAGCATATAGCGATAGCGGTCACAGCATATAGCGATAGCGGTCACAGCATATAGCGATAGCGGTCACAGCATAGCAAAAAATGGTTAGCGGTCACAGCATATAGCGATAGCGGTCACAGCATATAGCGATAGCGGTCACAGCATAGCAAAAAATGGTTAGCGGTCACAGCATAGCAAAAAATGGTTAGCGGTCACAGCATATAGCAAAAAATGGTTAGCAGCATTGCGCTGGCGGTCACAGCATATAGTGATAGCGGTCACAGCATATAGCGATAGCGGTCACAGCATATAGCGATAGCGGTCACAGCATATAGCGATAGCGGTCACAGAATAGAGTAGTCACGACGTCTGTCCCCTCCAAACCAGGCTTCGAAAACTCCATCAACACGCAGCCTTTTTGGGGATTGTGCGCGCTCCATCGCAGGAGCCTTTCCGATCTGAAGGCCGCACCGGGACCTAGGGCGCCTCCTCCCAATAAAATACTCAAAACTTCCTGTTTTCTCGTCTCTCCAAATTGAAATGCAGCCAGCGAAAATTCAATTTGGTAGACGTTAACCAAAATTACCCCCTCCAGGCCGGCTCGCATCCCCAGCCTATCGCTCAGCAGACGCCCCCTTCCAATCATCTGTACCGACTCGCCAGCCGCATAAAAACGGAGAAACTCCCACGTCACGGCCTCCCGAGCCTGCAACCACCGCCTCCCCTCCTCCTCCTCTTCACCCTGCCTCCAATCTGCCTTCAATCTGCTTCCCGCTGCCAAATGCCGCCACCAGTGCCTAGGTCCCGGGGGATTGTGCGCGCTCCATCGCAGGAGCCTTTCCGATCTGAAGGCCGCACCGGGACCTAGGGCGCCAAACCTCCTTTCATAAAATACTCAAAACTTCCTGTTTTCTCGTCTCTCCAAATTGAAATAAACCACATAATAGTAAGTAAGTATGCATCCAAAACTAAAAGCCGCCAAATTGACTGTATAAATGCACTATATTTTTGTGCTAAGTATAAGGCCCCGTCTACACGTAGCAGGGTATCTCACAAACCGAAGATATTTTCCTACGATCTGGCCTATCATCCACACAAACCCGGAGTTTTCTGTCGATAAAAACGAAGGTTTCTGAAAACTCCGGCCAAAGTGAAGATTTGGGAATTCTCCGGTTATGCGTTTGAGTGTGGACATAAATAACCGGAGTATTCGGCTGTACGTCACTACCAGCGTGCTGCTCTGACGTCACACGCGCGACCTGTGTTTACATCAGAAACAACATGGAGGCCATCAAAACCGCTTTTGTTTTAACGATTGTTCAGGCACTTTTTGCTTGCTTGTTTTTACAAGCTCAAATACTGCTTCATGTTGAAGAGCACAGACGAAGGAGCACTTTAAGGTCGGCTATTTTCCGCCAAATAACCATCCCTCGTCCAAGACATGTTCCTCGTCAAAGACGGCAACGGCAATTTTGGGTCAGACCGGGACGCACTGCCAGCTGGTGGGAGAACTTTGAGATGGAAGTCGTCCTCCCGGAGGAAGGTAGGTTTGTAGGTTTGAAATGTAATTGACAACGCATGTATGCGGTTAGGTGTGGATGCCGTTTTTTAAAAAACCGAGGCTGTGTGGACAGAAGTTTTTTTTTAGGCGGAGGGCGGATTTATAAATGCCCTGCTACGTGTAGACAGGGCCTAAATGTATAATACATGTTAAAATATTTATCTTTTTCAAAAGGTTGTCTGCTCCTGGTTAAACCATCGTCAAACTGCCTGAATCGGCCACAGACTGAATTATTATATCTGCAGTTGGCAAAACTGTCCAAATGACATGTTTAACTTCCAAAAATACTCGACATTCACTTGGCGTTCAAAGTGAGCGCTGAAGCTCCATGCCACGATCTTTGACAATGTAATTACACTCTTGGTAATTATATCTGTTAAAATCTTAAACCCTTTGACAGGAGATTCACAAGTGTCAGAAGTCTTGCCTCCTCACATCCTCCAAGTGGAAGATTCACAAATCTCTGAGTATAATTGAATTGCGAATGCGAATCCCTCCAAAGCCGTACAGTCAGATGGTGAAATGGAAGCAGCAGTGTGGTATTTGTAGCTTCACAAACAATTAGCATTTGGCATTTCCCAGAGGACACATTAGTATGCACTGTCAATGCATCACAGCACAGCCAGCCATGTTTGCACTGGGACTGTTCTCTCTGTCATGGCAAGTCAAACATTTTCAACACTTTGACTTCATGTGTGTATCTTTACATCAGAAACGGCATCAACAGATTTAGGGCAGGACAATATTAATGAAAGATTTAGATTACCATTTTGGTACATTGTGATTTGAACATTTTAAATGTATCATTTTTGAAAAATACTTTCTGTACATAATAGAACAGGGTCCCATTGTCAGAAATCTACATACAAAAATACTAAAATAAAATGCTGTTTAAATTATTGTAATAAGTGCCCAGCAAATTCTGGGCACTAATGGAGCTTAAGCGGAGGTTCAGTATGGTAGACTACCTACGTTATCACACCAGGCTTGACCACGCCTTACTCAGCCTGTCTTAATCAACTCCCCGCAGCCGTGTCAATCAAGCCAGCGTTTAAGAGCAAAGCAGAGCACAGCTCACCAAACGGACTTCAAGCTGCAATGGGTTGCTCTTTGTCACTTTGTTTACTCACGCCTCGCACATTGTTCGTCCTGCATGGTCGCGGCTCCTCTTCAACATCACATGTTGGGGGCTGCGCGCCGTGGTCGCTGTGTCTCCACCGCGGCTCCTCTCCTGCGGACTCGCTGCAGCTCGTCTCCCCGTGGCCGCTGCGCTCGCGGCCAGGCTCCGCGCACCCTGCCGCTTCCATACCGGGAACGGGACTTCTGTCTGCCTGCCGTTGTCTGCTGCCTCTGTCCACCCTTCTCCCTGCCTCCACTCACGGTACAGTGTCGGTTTTGTTGTTTTCCGCACTACCATTAACAGTACTGAACTGCGGCGTGTCAGTTAATCCCGCCGAATTGGCTCGCAGGCTGTGTTTTTGCCCAATGCATTGCTCTGCAGGCTGTTCGTTTTACCATCTGCATTGGCATTTAGACCGTCCGTTTCACCATGGACCGCACATTTTAACCACTGTTGGCCTTTTGGCTGTCCGTTTTACTCATGGGATGAACATTCTACACAATGCAGTGACCTCCAGGCTGTCCGTTTGACTATGGTCTGAACATTTTACCCACTGCATTGACCTTCAGGCTGTCAGTTGTAACCATGGACTATAACATTTGTCGTCTGCATTGGCCTTTGCGCTGTCTATTTGACCGTGGACTGTAAGTTTTGCCCACTGCATTGCCTCCCGGCTGTCCGTGTCTGATGAGCTGCTCTGATTGGTCGGAGCGCGGCCGAGCCCCTCTGTGCTGTTCGTTTTAACCAGTGCGTTGGCCTTCAGGCATGCTTCAACGGCCTCACTTCAACGCTTCATCGCAGCACACGTCGGTGGCCGCACACTTCAACGCCCACACGCTTCGCCGACGCCACTTCGGTGGCCGCACGCTTCGACGACGCTTCGACGACTCCACGCTTCGACTCCTCCGCCACGCTTCGACTCCTCCGCCACGCTTCGACTCCTCCGCCACGCTTCGACTCCTCCTCCACGCTTCGACTCCTCCTCCACGGATCGACTCCTCCTCCACGCATCGACTCCTCCTCCACGCATCGACTCCTCCTCCACGCATCGACTCCTCCTCCACGCATCGACTCCTCCTCCACGCATCGACTCCTCCTCCACGCATCGACTCCTCCTCCACGCATCGACTCCTCCTCCACGCATCGACTCCTCCTCCACGCATCGACTCCTCCTCCACGCATCGACTCCTCCTCCACGCATCGACTCCGGCGCACGCATTGACGACGGCGCACGCATCGGCGCACGCATCAACAACGGCGCACGCATCGACGAAGGCGCACGCATCGACGACGGCGCACGCATCGACGAAGGCGCACGCATCAACGAAGGCGCTCGCTTGGGCGGCGCACGCCTTGACGCGGCACGCCTTGACGCCTCAACAACGCAGCACGCTACGCCGCAGCACGCTTTGACGCAGCACGCTTCAACGATGGCGCACGCTTTGACGCAGCACGCTTTGACGCAGCACGCATCAACGATGGCGCACGCATCAACAACGCAGCTCGCTTGGACGCCGCACGCCTTGACGCCGCACGCCTTGACGCCGCACGCCTTGACGCCGGCGCACGCCTTGACGCCGGCGCACGCCTTGACGCAGCCGCATGCATCAACAACGGCGCTCGCTTGGACGCCGCTCGCTTGGACGCCGCTCGCTTGGACGCCGCTCGCTTGGACGCCGCACGCCTTGACGCCTCAACGACGCTGCACGCCTTGATGCAGCACGCTTCAACGACGGCGCACGCTTCACGACGGCGCACGCTTCAACGACGCCGCACGCTTTGACGCAGCACGCTTCAACGACGCCGCACGCTTTGACGCAGCACGCTTCAACGGCGCCGCACGCTTTGACGCAGCACGCTTTGACGCAGCACGCTTCATCGCAGCACACGTCGGTGGCCGCACGCTTCATCGCAGCACGCTTCATCGCAGCACACGTCGGTGGCCGCACGCTTCATCGCCGTACGTCGGTCGGCGCACACGCTTCCACGTCGGTGTCCGCCTGCTGCCGCATTCTCGACCTCATGCTTCGACGCATTCGTGTGCTCTCATCCATTCATCGTGGAACCAGTGTCGACCATGGACTCGCGTCCCCTATTGGTGGGTGAACAATCCAACGCTAGGAGAGTTCTGCTTCACAATGACGGGAAGAGCCGGCATCGAAGGATCAGGTCAGTGGTCTGACTGAAGACGTGGTCTGACTGAAGACGTGGTCTGACTGAAGACGTGGTCTGACTGAAGACGTGGTCTGACTGAAGACGTGGTCTGACTGAAGACGTGGTCTGACTGAAGACGCGGTCTGACTGAAGACGCGGTCTGACTGAAGACGCGGTCTGACACTGCCCGTTGGTCCTTTTCACTCGAGTGATAGTGGTTCGAGGTTTCTCTTTTCAGCTTCGCAGGAACGCGATGCCGCAACGCCGCACCAAAGCTCTGCTACAATGCCGCGACGGTGGCCTGCTAAGACTGCATGAGTACTGTTCGGCGTGGCCTTCAAACCTGGCCGGCTATCTTCCCCAGGCCGCACTCATTGGCTTTTGGTGTGCAGCACTGCCCGCCACGGTTTGCGTGCACTCTGAGTGGCTGTAGGCGGTGCTCCTTCTCATGTTCCCCAGGCATATTCTCTCCTGGTCTCCTGGTGCGGCTCCTGCCGCCGGGCCTGTCTCACGCTTCGCCTTACCTGACGCACCCTGGCCCTCATTCTGACCGGGCCCTCGTGCGTTGGTTTTTGGGGGTCCAGAGATCTCCTATCGAACATCAATCTTCCTGGGTAAGTGTACTTCATGAATCTCATTTTCACCTTCTAGTCTCCCCAAGTGGAATCATGTTCGAATATCAGCGCTCTAAACACCAGCAGTTCATCCTTCATTCAGCATTCTCCTTTCCCTCTCACTGCACACTCTCAGTCTCTGGACATCAGCATCGCGGGTACTGCCGTCACTGCCTCATCTACAGTACATCGGCATTAAATACATTCTCTAAAATCCACTTCGAGTCACACTGCTCCACCCTCATAAGAAGATCCCTAAAGGAGTACTGGCAATGGTCCTTGTTCTGTAGTTTAGGTCCTGGACAACTAGCCTGTCGTCCGTGGAGTGGATTCCCTCTCTCTATGTAGGGTCTTCCGAAGGTTTCTCACTTTTTTCCCCACGGGGTTTTGTGAGTTTTCCTTGCCATGCAGGAGGGTCTGGACAGTTAGTGTCCAACTACAAGGCCCTTGGTGATGATCCAGGATACTTTAACATTCTACAACATCTATGGACATTTTATCAACATTCATAGACTATAATTACTCCTTAAACAATCCCTCGACGACCCCCTGGTCTGAACAAATTCAAAACCTCTGCTCCCTGCATGTAACCTCTCTTCCTTTCTCTACACCCGCCACTCCTTCCGGATAGGAGCAGCCACTTGGACTGCTGCCCTGGGACTCCCTCAATCATCTCTCCAGGAGCTCGGTCCCCGGTTCTCTACCACATTCATCCGTTCTGGCAGCCCAGCGCCTCCTCTCATATAAGTACGTATGCATCTCCTGGTGGTGGCAACTCCTCATTTCCAGCATGCCGCGCACTCGAGCCGAGCTCGTGCGCGTGCCAACGCCTAGCGCTAGAGCAGAGCTCGCGCACGGACATTACGCCGCGCACTTGAGCCGAGCTCGTGCGCGTGCTAGTGCTAGAGCCGAGCTCGCGCACGGACATTACGCCGAGCGCGTGCCAACGCCTAGCGCTAGAGCCGAGCTCGCGCACGGACATTACGCCGCGCACTTGAGCCGAGCTCGTGCGCGTGCCAACGCCTAGCGCTAGAGCCGAGCTCGCGCACGGACATTACGCCGCGCACTTGAGCCGAGCTCGTGCGCGTGCCAACGCCTAGCGCTAGAGCCGAGCTCGCACCCGGGCATTACGCCGCGCACTTGAGCCGAGCTCGTGCGCGTGCCAACGCCTAGCGCCAGAGCCGAGCTCGCGCACGGAAACAGTCACTCACACCATGCGCCTTCCATAAACGCAGCAACCAAGTCATGGCAAACGCATCGCTAGCCAAGCTCTCTTTTTGGGGATCATGATCTGCACCCAGGCGCAGATCTCTCCAGAGCACGGCCACAGCCGGGGCCTAAGCTCCAAACCAATAAACAAACTCAATCCATAAAATAAACAACTCTTAAACGCATCTCGTCTCTTGTAGTCTCTCCAGGTTGAAATGGAGCTTAAGCGGAGGTTCAGTATGGTAGACTACCTACGTTATCACACCAGGCTTGACCACGCCTTACTCAGCCTGTCTTAATCAACTCCCCGCAGCCGTGTCAATCAAGCCAGCGTTTAAGAGCAAAGCAGAGCACAGCTCACCAAACGGACTTCAAGCTGCAACCACCTCCTCCCCACCTCCGCCTCAGGATTTCTTCACTCTCACATTCACCTTGCCTTGTTGCCACCACCAGTGTCTAGGCCCCGGGGGATCATGATCTGCACCCAGGCGCAGATCTCTCCAGAGCACGGCCACAGCCGGGGCCTAAGCTCCAAACCAATAAACAAACTCAATCCATAAAATAAACAACTCTTAAACGCATCTCGTCTCTTGTAGTCTCTCCAGGTTGAAAGTAAGATAAGACTGAACTTGCCTTGAGCAGATTAAAGACAAAATGCACCTCAAATAAAACTCTTTTCAGCAAGTGTTATACTTGTTTCTTTGATGCTAGAGTTAGAGATTGCATTTTATTTTATCTAGTGTAGTGATATTGTTCGGTAATCTTGTGCTGTGTGCTCCTCATTCCTACTGTTCTGTAACTGATGATGCGAGCACTGAAATGTATCCACTGTGGGACAAATAAAGAATCTTAATGTTTTGACATTTGTAGTGATCCCTTTACTATCCCTAAGCTGGTTTAACAGCTCTGAAGACAGAAAATGCCTTTACTTATAGTGTAGAAAATAAAGGAATCTAAATGATTGTAATATTGCTGTTTATAGCCACTAAATTGCGATTTTGATGAATTGTGCAGCCCTGACCTGTCTCTATCATCAGTGACAAAGCCTCTAACAGCGATTGTCCACCTCACAAACCTCTCCACAAAGACGTCCTCTACAAATAAACCCGGTTCAATGTACACGGCATTCTAAAAAGCCCCTGCGGAGAGGGCGTCCACTTTTCCTGTCAAACAAACCAAGAGTGTGTTGGCTTTAGCTACAGAGCCTCAATTCTCTGACGGCTCTCATTTTAAATAATACAGGCCTGCTATACCCGTAAGGGCCATTACCAGGGTTCACACAAACAACACAAAGAGAAAGTAATTTTAAAATGGACTCTTTCATCATGCTTTCTGATTCAAGGTAAATATACACTACATCTAAGTGTAGTTCACGTACAAGGCAGCTTTCAGAAATGACCCCATTTGGTCCAACACAATGGACAGTGATCTGTTGAGCTTTATGTGTATCGTTTGTATATGATTCTTTAGAAATATCTGAAATTACCCCTTTGAATGATTGTGTATTTTCAGCACCTCACTTATCCTTCTGAGGGAGTTGAAACTATACTTTTTTCAAACTAATGTCTGTCCGTGGAAGTAGATCCCGCTCTCAATGTGGACCTCCCAGAAGTTTCTCAACCTTTTCACACTGGGTTTAGAGTTGGTCTGTTGGACTCTGTCTGGTTCTAGGTAAAAGGAAAGTGGTGATGATCCAGGACACTCAACATTAGACAACGTTTATGGATATTGGTCATCTGCCCGTTATGTTTTGCATTTTGTTGCAATTCTTGTGTTTGATTCTCTGATCTGTGTTGGCGAATTCACCGGTTTTGTTAAGTCCTCCGAGATAACTACTGTTGTGATTCATGGCTATATAAGAATACATTTAATTGAATAATGTTTGAAAAATCCTTATGACCACTGATATATTGATACTAACAGCTAATATGGTGACCTTGAGTTTTGTAAAGGGCTATAGGAAACTTAACATTTTAAATCAGCCCTTCTGCAAAACTGAAGCTCGTGGCCTTTAGAATTTGACATCCAAATGGTAATAGTTGTCTTTGGTTGCCGGAGCTTATCGGCTGGCTTTAATTCAATCCTGTTGTGTCCATTTCTCAGCAAGATGTGATGCAATGAATGACTCCTACGCAAATACTTGCCGTGACGTGGACGACATCTGTATAAATCAGAAATGACAGCTGTCAAGATGCCAGATATTGCTGCAACTCAGTAATAACACACCATATGAACATCAACTCAG